CTCTTTCATCCCTTATACCCACAGTGGGACGGTGTACACCCCGTCCAGCGCTGGCAGGTACCCCGCATCTCTCCACTTGGGCTCCGTGTTGCCTCCCGCTGGGTTTCCCCCCTCCACCGCCGGCCGCACTCACTTCAGCTCGGCTTACCAGCTCGGGCAGAGCCCCGGCTGCATCTACCCGCCCTACACTGGCTCAGGGTCCGCTCTCAGCAACATTACTCTACCCGGCGGCGGCCCGGGGATGAGGGCCCAGGTCTACCTCTGCAACCGGCCGCTGTGGCTCAAGTTCCACCGGCACCAGACCGAGATGATCATCACCAAGCAGGGCAGGTGAGATGACAGGAAAAGACAATGAAGAGGATGTAACTTTACTTGAGAATGATTGTGATATGGGAAATGAAACCATACCTCAGTTCACGTGGGTGTCATTTTAATTTTCTGTAAGAAAGATCTGATGTCCTTGGGCCTTAAGCATGATACAAATATTGTTTATATTCCAATACCTATTATTAAATCTATTATTTATTTCATTTTGTTTTGTGTTTGCAGACGGATGTTCCCGTTCCTCAGTTTTAACTTAGCTGGTCTCAACCTGACAGCGCACTACAATGTGTTTGTGGAGGTGGTGCTGGCGGATCCGAACCACTGGAGGTTTCAAGGTGGCAAGTGGGTCACCTGTGGGAAGGCGGACAACAGTAGCCAAGGTACTGAAACAGGTCGATATTTGACAATTGTTCACATTTTGTGTCATATTTTAAATTAATGTATCATTTACCATCATCTTTTAAAGACACTTTCAGCTAACTGAAATAGGAAAATAGTAAGATTATCTCTGCCTAATTGGCGATTTTTTTATTTGCAAGAATGAATTAATTCGATGCAAAATTATGTTATTATGTTTATTTAATGCATATCTTTTGACATATAGGTGTGCAATTTAAAACCCCCTCTAGGCAAGACCATCAGAGAATCTAGCCTAAATTGTCTGCTTAGGGCTGGCTACAGGAGGTTGATGTTAGTGTTTATTTCAGGGAACAAAGTCTACATCCACCCAGAATCTCCAAACACGGGGGCCCACTGGATGAGACAAGAAATCTCCTTCAGCAAACTGAAGCTCACCAACAACAAAGGAACCAGTCACAATACTTCACAGGTATGCCAAACCAGTAAATAAATAAACCTAAACGCCTTTAACCACCTTCGAGGATTTAAATAAATTGTATTAACATTTCAGCACAATTTTCGTTGCATAATAGTTTTACGTAAGCATTGCACAATAGTGTTACATAAACCAGGAGCACAGCTGGGGGTCATTTTCAATTTTCTTAAATTCATGTTTGGAAGGAAATTCATTTACAGGCTCTCACATGATGATTTTTTTCTCAACAAAGGTGTGTAAACGAAATAAAATTAAGTACACTGTGTTAAATTGATTACGCTATTGTTATTGTTATTGCTATTGTCAGAATCGTTTTTGCGCCATTAGTTCAAACCTTTTGTAGAAAAATACGCACGCACAAATTCCATTTCGAAAATTACAATTTAGTGCTTACTTTAAAAAAAAAAAATGGATGATTTATTTATTTTTATTTTTATTTTTTAAACTATGTTCATTTGCAGATGATTGTCCTGCAGTCGCTGCATAAGTACCAGCCAAGACTGCACATCGTGGAGGTGACGGAGGATGGGGTGGAGGACATTGGGAGTGACGTAAAGACCCAGAGCTACACTTTTCCAGAGACCCAGTTTATAGCTGTCACTGCCTACCAGAACACTGATGTAAGCATGAAAAAGTTCTCCTCTGTGCCATGATATGGTTTCTATTATTATATAGACTGCTTAGACCAATATTCCTGCTTTGTACTATAAATTGCATGTTACATCTTGTTTTGATCCATTTGTAATTTGTATTTAGTAAAACTCTTTGAATGGACATGGATTTAATTTTTAACGTTAATCAGCTGTGTGCCATTTCTTTGTATAATTTGACATGTATATGGATAATAAAGATGTAACTGCATGATGCTTCTTTACATTTATTATTTCTTCATCTTCACTTACCAACCTTATTCTTCCATTTTAGATCACACAGCTGAAAATTGATCACAATCCGTTCGCCAAAGGGTTCAGAGATAATTATGATTCGTGAGTATTTTACTTCAATTGTCCTGCATTGCTTACCGGTTATAAATTAGTATAAATATCACAATTTTACAACACGGGAATATCAAATAATATGTTGTATTGCATCCACTGTCTTACTGTGTTGTAATTCTATTTTTAAATTTACCAGCTTTAGATCTGCTGTTTCACATGCGTGCTCATTTTGAAACACATTTTCACACCCCGATTTTTTTCACAGACTTTCCTTGACCTCAAGTTCATAAGTGAATGTATTTTTTTCAGTATGTACACAGCTCCAGAGCATGACCGCCTCACCCCATCTCCAAACGACTCTCCCCGTGCCCACCAGATTGTCCCCAGCGCCCGCTACACCATGCAGCCCCTTTTTCAGGACCAGTTTGTCAACAACCTCCCCCAGAGTCGCTTTTACAACAGCGAGAGAGCAGTGCCACAGACTAGCAGCCTCCTCTCACCTCAGACAGACGACGGAGCTTCGCAGAGGTGGTTTGTCACCTCAATGCAGCAAGGGGGAAACAGCACAAGCACAAACAACAAGCTAGATCTCACACCCTATGAGGGGGAATACTCAAGCTCCTTGCTTCCTTATGGGATCAAATCCTTGTCCATGCAAACATCCCACGCTCTCAGCTACTACCCAGACTCTCCTTTCACCACCATGTCTGCAGGGTGGGGTTCCAGAGCAGCCTACCAGAGAAAGGTTACACCTAGCTTGCCTTGGTCTCCTAGACCCAGTCCCACTGCTGGTTTCCCAGAGGACTCAAACAAAGTTAAACCACAGATAGAAGAGGAGGTGAACGGCAATACAGGCCTGGTCTCCTCCTGGACAGAGACACAGTCATCAGCTCTGTCCCTAGACAAGGCCGATTCTTATTCCACAGCCTGCAAACGAAGGCGCTTGTCTCTGAATGGTCCCAGCACAGAAGACTCACCTGCTGACATCAAGTGTGAGGACTTGGCCTCTGTTGCCACCAACAGCAGCTCCTATAGCAAAGAAGCCCTCTCATCCAAAGGCATGGCAGCTTACTATTCCTTTTACACAAACCCTTGAATGTGAACCCTGAAATGTTTTGTATCTTATTTTGTCCTTTTGTTTGTTCTTTATCTGCCACCATGAATAAGAAATATTATTTTGCTTTTTTCTTATGTGGACACCCAGAATTTGGAATTTGTCTTGGTGATAAATGGTTGTTTGTTCAGAAGAATCAAAAGTCAAGGTGCGTATGTGGTGTGTGATAAGCATCGGCATCCTTATTCCATCCATTCTATACAGTCCATCTATATATTTTTGAACATCCCATTTCTGTAACTGTATCTGGAATTTTGAAAGTGCCAAAGCATTTGTTTAAGATGCCCCATATTTTTCAACAGTGTTATGTATGTTTCATTGTGCATACATTACTGTGTCTGCCTTCACATTGAGGTTATGTGTTCACAGATTATTTATTGAAGGCCTGTTGATATGAAATTTGTGCACCCATCAATGTGAGGATAATATGCTGTATATACCTTCATGGCAATGTTCAGATATTTGATAATAAAAGACATATGTGTTCTATTGAATATCTGAGTGATTATTTCAAGTTAAGGCACCCTTGTCCGTAAAGCATACTGTACATATGATAGGCTGGGATTCACATTTGTTATTTACATTTGTTTGAAATATAAATGCACCAGTTAAAGACTGTCTGTAATTACTCACAAGGTTATGTTTGATGCTATATACATTACAATTGGTTCATTACACATAAGAACCACAGCAAGCACAGGAGTGTGATGGATGATACAGCCACTTACAGTCAGCTGACACAACTTTTAGACTGCTATTTGTTGTCTTTTGTCATGTACAACAAATGCAAAGTCAACACCAATTCAAACATCCGTATTAATATTAAAACTGGACCGTTCAAAGGATAAAAAGCACAACTTCATGTCAATCAAAAGAATTATTCTTTCCGGTGGACTCTGTCGCACTCTAGTGGCATTTGTTTTTATTGTACTCACAGCAATAAAATCAGTCACCACAGTAGCCTGTTGAGTTGAGATGGAACTTCAGTATATTTAACACTGAGTTAAATTTCCATTGTCTCCAGTAATTAGACCATAACAGTTTTTTATTCTTATTTTGAATTTTAAAAAATGTGGATATATAATTTAAAAATCTATACTTATTTTTTCTGTCAATGGGAATCTCTAGATTTGGCACACGTTGAATTGGATAGGTTTGTAAGTCCTTCATATTCCTGTCTTCCTCTACAAACATGCACGATTCTGACGATGAGCCTTTTAGATAAATATGAAAACCAGGATAAAGTGCTTTTCCAAAAAAACAGAACAAAAAAACACACTTAGTGGGACGTTACATGAGCAAAAAAAATCCAATGGTGTAACCTCAGGATTTAAAACGTAATCAATTGCGTCGGTGTGTGTGTTAGCAGTATGTTCAGTATAAAGCCACACACACACACACAATGCCATCGTTGTAGAAAACAAACCATATCCTTCTGCGCCTGTTTCGGGGGGTTGTGCTGAAACCTGGCAACCCCCGTAGCAGCCAGCGGAGAGTTGACAGGAACATCACTGCGCCGAGAGCACACATTATTTATGGGTTGCCTCACTTAACAACAACAACAACAAAAAAAAACAACAACCCTTGTTTATTGCGCTAGCGAGTGACAGGTAATTGAGAAGAAAAGCCCTACAACAACGAGCTGTACCACCTGTGTAAGTCTGAATACTTGTTACTCATTGTTTACGGTGAGTTTATCAACTGTGCTAAGTTAGCTGAGTTGGCTAGCGGCGCGGTTAGCTCGCTAGCGGACCCCCTAGCGTATGCGCTGACGTTAGCCAACGCAGATGGTAGCGTCATGGTGTCTTTATGTGTCTGAATAACACACAGCTAGCGAGCAGTATTGCTTATTGGGATTAAAATCGTCTCTTTTAACAAACGACAAGGCGTGCAGCTCACGTTGTCTAAGGTCAGCTGTCAGGTGAAGGTTTGTCATTAAGCAGACCTGTAACAAAGCGTTCATTAACACAACACGGTGCCGTCGGTCGGAGCTAGCGCGAACCGTAAACAGCACACAACATGGGGAAAGGCCTGCTGCATGGAGGAGTTCAGTGACAAGTGGCAAGCTACGCAGACAGACTGTTACATTTGTATCTCCATAGCTGCCACTGTTAGATAGTACAGTCAGATGTTGCTTGGCGCTGTCGTGGAGAAGTCCCGTTAACAATTGTCAGGTAGGTTAATTAGTTATATGTGTGCAGAGTAACCTTACCGAGCACTACGTGTTACTATCTGAGGTTATATAAGGCAAGATAAAGTGTTTCCAAGTGTTCACTAGGGTGGGACATTGTCTGTTTGTCTTTCCCTCGTTGTTTATGAGGCTGTCTGCCCTTACATGGCACAAGCTTGACACAGATTTAGTGATGCAAGGCAAGTTAGCTAGTGCCACCTGGCTTTCATTATGTAATGGTGTATAATATGTTAGTGGTGTGTGTGTGTGTAATGTAGTCTTTATTCTTGGATACCCATGAGCAGCTACTCTCTGTGGACACAACAAAACGTAAATAGAAAACAAGACACGTGTTAAAACAAAATGAGACCATATACAGACCAGTAAAAGGCAAGTCAAATAAAACTTAGTTGTTCAGGTCAGTAAATAACATTAGGGTTAGTATTGTGTTTTTAAAGAAATCTGTAACTTGCCTTACTGGATGCTTCAATTAGGACAGCTGGTAACTTGTTCCACATTGTGACAGATCTACACACTGCGTCTGTTTAAAGTGTTTGTTTAACTAGATGAGCCCTAGTAGCCTGCCTGGTAGTGTGACAGTGTTTGTGTCTCACATCACATTTGATGTAAATGTTGTTTTTTTGGAGGCGGTCATACCACATGACTTGTTGTGAGATCACTGTACTGTCCACGCTACGTTACAATCTGTCTTTTAATCAGGAGTCTTGAAACACCAAGCACATCATGTTTAATTAGGAAAGTAATTCGAAAACATGCACAAAGGGCAACCATTAACAGCATGCTGCCAGTCGTAATCAGTACATACTTTATTAAACTATTAATCAAACTCATAATTAACAGTCAGTGTCAGACAACCTTATCATACTTTAGCTGTTACCTAGTGTTTCTGTAGCGGTGACAAGAAGAAGAAATATTACATTTGAACGACTCCTTGCGTGTCCGCAACAAACATAAGAAACACAACCTAAAGTGCTTCATGTGTCGACATTCTTCTCATCAGTTTGGCATCAATATAAGAGAAGCTGTATACCATACAGACTGTACATTTTGTCGCCTCAACTCGCCTAGCCTCGTTGTTTCATCTGTTACCAAGGTAACTACCTAGCTTGCTGCTTCCTGCCTGGTGCTGGAGAGAAGCCCCTTTCACTGGCTGTGGCCCTTTGTATCCCACATGACCAGGTTTTTTGCCTGCTCGATGTTTTTCGGGCATCAGCAAGCTCTGTGAACAGTTCACACATGGTGATCGACCTCACAGGAGCAAGTGCCGATTTGCTTCTCATCTAGGGGCAGTTGTCGCGATCTCCCACACCTGTCTGCGTGTGGGGAATCAGGGCTAAAATCATGTGGTGTGAACTTGCCATTATTACAAGTCTGTTACAGAGAGTAGAGGGAGGAGGAGCCGATGTCCCATCCTTTAGTCCGACCGGCCTCCTTTCCAAAATGTATGTTCTCACAGCATTTCACTCTAAAAAGCTCAGACAGGGCAGTGGGAAATGATAACCATATTTTATAACTAAATGCGTGTCTGCTTCTGTACTGTTACCGATGGTAAGATATACATTCAGTTGCCAGTTTTTTAGGCCCACCTAGCTAAAGTTGAATCAGCAGCACCTCTCTAAAACCTTTTCAACAGAAACAGAACATTGTAACCTTCATGAAGGTGGGATTTATTGCAGGACTGTTGTAAAAGACATCAGTTTTAGCAAATGAGTGTTTAACTATTGCTCTGGTAACATAGCAAGTCACAACAGCCGTCTGATTGTCTACATGTATTCACATGTCTTTTTATTTTTTCTTCCACTTGTTAATCTGTTCATGTTGTTTGTGTATGATGTTGAAAATTCCCCAAATTACAGTGAGTAATACTTTTTACTAGAAACTGAGCAAAGGTTCTGAAAATGAGCTGGCATTCCCAGCTTCTCCACTCCTCTCTGTGACACACACAGTCGCTGATATTGTGTAAAGATAAGAATAGTCTTGATTCTGTTTACATAAATAATAGGCATCCTGCAAATGGATTGTCGACATTTGTGTACCATTTCTTGGAAAGTGAATTTGTCGGGCATTTGGTGTGCACACTTGAAATGTTTTCAAGGCACAGTTTTCCCCTCTGTTGTGTCCATAACTTGCCTACATTAAGGAAATGACTTGCATGGTGAAATGTATGCTATAGGAGATAGTCTTGTGTGTAGCTGACCAAAAACACATAAAAGCATCACATTGCTTAAACAGACATGACCATATGGTGCTCTGGTGGAGGCGAAATGCTGACTCGCTGCATGTTGCTCTTGAGTGGTGGATATCTTGCTTCACAATGACTCCTGGCCTCAGTGGGATGGGCAGCATTGGCACGGAGAGGCGGAAACTCCTGGTGATGCCAGAGGAAGTCTTGTCCTCCTCTCTGTTTGAGCTTTGTTGGCGCTATGTTTGGTTATTCAAAACAAAAAATAAAAAGAGAAACCCAGGAAGGTAGTTTACAGTGCGTTGGGGATGCTGACACAGGGGCTTGTGGCAGAGCAGCCTGAGCAACCTTGGAGATGCCGCTCTCGTCCTTGTGGTCCAGAGGGAGTGGTAATACTCAGTAAGGCGCAGGCTTGCTTTCCTTGAAATAGTGGTGAACATATTTTTGGCTTATGGGACGAGTCAGCTTGAGCTTTTAATGACAGACAAGCTCGGTCACTTTTTTTTTACCTTGTCCTTGTTGGACTCAGCCATAAAGGAACTTAACCCCTTATTTTTCTACTTTTCTTCAGGACATTCAGTATGCTGGCCTTTTGGACGTGAACAGATTGAAGACAACTTGAGTCAGTGAGACCTTGAACCTACGTTAGGGGAAGAGATGGGAAACACAGCGACCAAGTTCCGCAAGGCTCTCATCAATGGGGACGAGGTGCTGGCCTGCCAACTGTATGAGAGCAACCAGCAGTTCAAGGAGGCTCTGGATCCTAACTCTACATACGGAGAGTCCTACCAGCACAACACTCCACTGCACTATGCTGCCCGGCACGCCATGACACGCCTACTCAGGTCAGAATACGGCCCAGATAAAATCAAACAGGCCAGCGGACATAATGTACAAATTCAGAGTTGCATTTTTTTGGACTGGCTGTTGTTAGTGAGGGAGTCTATCTTAAGGGTTGATAGATGAGAAGAACGTGTTGTGCGCTAGCTTTTTGATAAGCAGCAGCTTATGAATACATTCAATTTTTATTTATATTTCTTATGTGACATATCAAGTGTCATTGTTTATTTTATAGGACCGTGTTGCTGATCAGCTGGTCCCTTCTAGTACTGTATGGCTGCATTGTAAAAGAAAATGTTTCATGTTTTGTCTCTATATGTCTCTGTCCCATCTGTCTCTCCACACAGCCATCTGTTAGCAGCTCTCAGGAATGCAACATGCTGGGGTGGAATAGGATGGGGCTTGAAGAGCTTCCCATCCCACAATCTATCTCCAAGCTAATTTTGCCGAGAAAAACAAAACAATACAGGCTAATAATTGTAAACCCTACTAGGTTATGTTGTTGACCAAAGCTGAAATAAGTTCAACCAAAATGTGTTCGCTTGCCCCAGATATTTGTACACAGTGCCAGTTACGGGCCATTGAGCAATGTTTGAAATAACTCTTCCTCTTGCCCCTGTCTTATTCTTTTAGGTATTTTCTCCTAAACAAAGATGGGAATCCTAACAAGCGTAATGTGCACAATGAGACCTCTCTGCACCTTCTCTGCATGGGGCCCCAGATCCTGACATCCGAGGGAGCACTGCAACCCCGGATCTCACGGCCATATGAAGACAAACAGCGTCGGGCAGAATGTCTACAGATCATCCTGGCATGGACTGGAGCAAAGCTGGACCACGGAGAGTATGAGAGAGCGGATATCAATGCCATTGACAACAAGAAAAACACCTGCCTACACTATGCTGCTGCCTCGGGCATGAAGACTTGTGTTGAGGTGAGATTCCAAAAATCCTGTGGATATTTTTCTGTAAAGGCTAATGTAGAATATTCTCAAGTATGACACTTTAGGTATAGATCAAAGGCTCCATAGATTCAAACTGAAGAGCATCTCTAGAACAGGAAGTTATTTGAGTGGAAGGAAGATAAAAGGGGTCAGAGTAACCCTGATGTTAATACAAATTATTCAATGTCTGCCCTTTTCTACTATAAAAATTTGTAGAATAGTGGCTGACAATAATTTGCATGATCACATCCATTATGTTAAGTTAGATCAAACCACTCTCTTGTGAGTTTTGGGAAGATGCCATGCAGCACAAAACACTTTTATTAATCCCTGGGGCAGGAAGCATCACAGATATAAATTATCTCTGTGTGTCTCTTAATGTCTGCCTTTGTAAATGTCTGAGTTTAATTTTGAAATGGATTTTGTATAGAACCTAGCTGCGTAATCCCCATGATGAAGGATTTAGGATAGAATATGAACAACCACAATTATCAGATGGATTAAAGTACGGTTTTGCAACTGAGTGTAGATAATCAAATTGCGGTGCATTGTATCATGCATTTCTATGATTCATAATTATAAGTTGTAGTGTACTGTTTTTTTTCTTTAATTTTATTTTCTCCGAAAATGCAATTTAAAGCACTCTTGTCTTATTTAGTCTATATACTACTAACATTAATACCCCTCATTTTATTGTTTTGTATGTGCTTTTGCATTATGAGCCTCTGGGTTGAATGTTTTAAATAGTACCTGAAAATGTAGTATAAGGGAGTCCAGTGTGATGTTTCTATTGACTATTTTCTTATCTTTTTATTATTGTTCTGCATGCTTACGAGTGGTCTTAATAACTTTGTAATTTCAATCTTATATTCTGTTTTTAGTTTGACTTTGTAACATCTGTCCAGGGACAAAATAGCCACACCCCTAGTGTGCTAGCTAAATAAATAAATAAATATAAATACATGTATTTGCAGAGTTAAGATGCAGGCAGTTCTATTATGACAGAAAGAGAGAAGGCCTAAATAGAACTTTGGAAAATATAGCAAAAAGCAAAAGTGGAAAAGAATTAATTTAACAAATGCTTGGGAAGCTCAAATTGCATATTCATACTTGAGGGAACACTATAAAATTTTCTTAAAGTGGTCCTGCACAACCATTGCCATTTTGAAAGAGCACTTAGTTAAATTTTTCGTGCTGAGAAGTACCACAATAAAAAAAATCAAAAGGGCACTTTCTTTCTGTTGCTACTTTTCAGAAAGACTGTTCCTCTAAAAGTGAAAGAGTGAAAATGTATTAAGTGCAAATTACTTAGGGGTTCTGAAACCGAGAAATTGTAAGTAATGATCATAATCACAGTATATATAAGAATAATTGGGATTAGTATTTATGAAATAATTGTATAGCCTGCCCCATTATTCAAAGCCAGATTTTCCTCTTGTTTTCACTTTCTCAGTTCCTGGTGCAGAGAGAAGCAGACCTGTTTGCGGAGAACGAAAACCGCGAGACTCCATGTGACTGTGCAGAGAAGCAGCACCACAAGGAGTTGGCCCTGTGCCTGGAGTCGCAGATGGTCTTCTCTCTTGCCCCCGAGGCAGAGGGTATAGAGGCGGAGTACGCAGCCCTTGACCGAAGAGAGGTACAGAATAACATACAAAGAGGCAGAGGGTATACAGCTCTTAATTGGTCACCCTCAACTGCTGTCGTCTACAGCATTACCAATACCAAACTTCTATATAGTCCCTATCGAAAAAATCTAATGAAGCCATAGCTGTTGTTGTTTTTGTTTCAGATAAACTCTTTTGAGTAAGCGGCCCTAGACCCACTCGGGTTGAATTTAGGGTACATTTAGGGTACATAAGTAATGAATAGGACGGAAATATATTTTGTTAGAGCTGAAATTTACATAGTTTGTCGGTCTTCCGTTTCCTCTTGGAATCAGAGACTATTAGCCCAGTGTTTTTCAGTGAATTTCCAAGTTTAACTGAAATTCTGCTGGTCAGCCCCCCCCCCCCAATTTGGTTACAAACAAACACACAAAGGAGTCACACAAAATAATCTGTCACAAGGCATGTGACTCCTATCATCATCATCAGTGTGTTAGCTCATTGGGCCTGACTCATGCGTCAGCAATCGTCTATATTTGATTTTTTTTAATACTTCTCTGCCTCCCATTTGACCCAACTTTCTTTCTACACCCCACCTCATTCTTTCCTTTCCCTTCCCCTGATTTCACCCTCTGTCCCTCCCTCAAATCTTTCATTACTTTTTTCTGCTAACCTGCCCTATTCTTTTTTTTGCCAACTTGCCTTCCTTTATTCTCTCCTCTTGTATTCTCTTCTTGTCATTACCCTCCATTACTCCTCTCTTGTCTCTGTTCTTTCCTCTCCCATGCCCTCCTCTCTAGTTGTATGAGGGCCTGCGGCCTCAGGATCTACGGAGGTTGAAGGACATGCTGATAGTGGAGACAGCTGATATGCTCCAGGCTCCTCTTTTCACTGCAGAGGCGCTGCTACGTGCTCATGGTACTATTAAACACACACTCTCACACAATCGCACACATGCGGTATCTGCTGGTCCTTAAAATGGTAGCCTAGTGATCAAAACAGATCCTAAATATCTGCAACATCCCATGTTTGATTCTGGCTAGGGACCATTGTTGTATGTCATATTGTGTTCTCTTCCCCATGTTTGTTTTTTGTATTTACACTATGTAACAACGGCAAAAAAGCTCAAATGAAAAAAATGCAACAAATATTAAAATTCAAGGCTTTACACAAGTATTGCTTTTCAAACAGAGCTATGCTTTAAAAAATATTCTTAAATTTGTCTTGTGTTAAATTAGAGAGGCAATATCTCAAATAAGTGTAATGCTACACTCCAGTGATTTCTTACAATCAGTGGCAAGATGTGAACAGCCTTTGTTATCTAAAAATGTTTTACTTGTATTGCTCACAGTAGAGAGTGTCTTTGTCACATGTTCTAAATGCTATTATAGTGAGCTTGTCCTTTCCACCAAATACACTGGTACAGCCACAAATTGGAGTACTTACACACTTGGCATTTTCTGTAAATAAAACTGTCCACAACACAACACACTAAGTACACAAAAAGACTGAACCATGGATTAATATATATATATATATATATATATATGTATAGATAGATAGATATATTATTTTTTTTTTGCCTATATTGCTGTTGGAAATGTAGGTTTGTATTACTGTGGAAAAGAGTTGTATCTCCCACATTTGCACTTGTTTATTACTAGACATTGTTCAATCTCATTCTGTTAAATAGTGTGCAGTGTGTTTGTTTGCAAATTTAATTATTCGCTTTCAAGCAAACAGTTTGTCTTCGCAGTGTAGATTTAATCACAGAAGAAATGGAAAGTGTGAGATTAAGTGTGTAGTTTTTAGTTGCCTTATTAAATGTATTGTGTGATGTTTTGGTAGCTATGAATTTAAATGCTAATTTACAAGCTGTGTTGAGGGTATGAGTGTATAATACATCCACTTTCTAAAACATTAAACACATACACATTAAATTCAAGTCATACACTAAAAACGTAGGTAATTGAAGCAAACATTATTACAAATATAGACTAAAATATTTTTCAAACAGACATTATGTACACACAGTTCAGCATACATACTGTACATATGATTCTGATGATATGATTCTTACACACCCATCGACACATGCATCCAAGAGGCGTATGTTAGCAGCAGACTAAATCAGTGAAAGCTTGTGAAAGAATTTCATGTAGCTACATTCTTGTCCGCAGACATCAGTCACTTGGCCTGAATTACTCCATTGATGCTGCTTGTAAAACATAGTCTTGGCCATGTACTGAGTAAGAGTGTCAAGGTTTTGATTTGATCTGCAGCCTTAAGCTACCAGTTGTCCTACTAGCTTCACTTAATCTAGCTAAGATAATGTGTCTGACAAACTTTAAATGTTCCAAACATTGTTATTTGATTTTAAGCCTTTGAAAACCATTACCCCTCTTAATTTAACTTGTCTTAGATTAAGTTAGTAGAAGACTTCAAAAGATGTGTCACAGTTTAGGGTTGATTTTCAGCCTTTAAATACTCCATTCATTAATTCAGTGGGCTGAGTGGCTAGCTGTTGAGCTTTGTGGGCTACATATTAGACATACTTTTGGGAGCTTAGAGGGGACAGTGACCCCAGATTCTTGCTATATTTATTCACCTCTATCTTGGGAATGCTGTCTGTCTGTTTAGTAGGGATGGGACATTTCAGGATTTTTGTTAATCTCCTGGAGAGAAGTCTTTTTGGATTTATATGTCATTGATTTCTTGTGAAACCCTTAACACATTTCCACACTTCCTAACTTATGTATTTCCATATTAGTCTTTTTCAGTTTTCTTATCACAATTATTGGTGCTTTTCTGTTGAACTGCCAGCCTGTTAATCTGTCTGTGCTTCAGAAATGTGTATTTCCCTGCTAATTTTGGATGTATAAAACGCAATGTGAAGACTTTTAATTTCAGACTCCTTTTTAATGGCCAAAAGCATGACGATAGGTTCATATTCATTGATGGGTTTTAATTGAATGGAGATGGGGGGAAAAGTTGCAATATTCATTATCTAAACGAGGCCATTTAGAGTCTGAGGCATTTGATTGGTGGTGAAACCTGTCTCGGGGCTGATAATGGCCTAATTGCACAGTTGACCGGGTCATGTTCCTTATTTTAGGAGGGTACTATTTCGTCAGAGAAAATTTGGATTCAGGCACAGTCCTTAAGTCATACAATATTTATACTGAAAACCTCTCAAACCTGTTCTTGTGCTAATGTGAGATTGAACAGCTATTCTAAAACAGAAAACCAGATGGCAGCAGGTCTATGTTGGTACTAGTGTTGGCACAGAAGTTGAATTTGTGTGGGCTTTGATGGATTCAGCATGTGCATAATACCAATTCATACATATATATAATACAGGATGGACTGGAAAAATGTTTTTATGTGAATACATTTTGCGTGAGTGAGATGAGAATTTAGTTGAGTCTTGTTTCATCAGATGGTGACAGACAATCATGATCCATAAAATATCACAAAATACACAATGAAGCTGTAACCAGGCCTGGTCTGTATGTTATCACATGGTGTGTATTTATATTTATACATACAAATTGTATGTTTATTATTGTTTTTGTTTAAAAAAAAAAATGTTTTTTCATTTTTTTTTCAAAAAATCATTTTTTTCTTGTTAAGTATGACTGCACTTTTTTGCATCAGATTGGGACAGAGAGAAGCTCTTAGAGGCCTGGATGAGCAATGCTGAGGAATGCTGCCAACGCTCAGGGGTACAGATGCACAACCCGCCTCCAAGTGGCTACAATGCCTGGGACACCTTGCCCTCGCCTCGCACGCCACGCACCACCCGCTCCTCCATCACCTCCCCAGACCAAATCAGTCTCATGCCTGCAGATGAGGAGTCTTCTCTGGTGAGAGATGTCTCAGGGTTCCCTTCAGCCATAGAGCTTACTTAATAGAATTGATGCGAAGCCCCACAGTTCAGATTGAACCGGTGTTTGACCAAAAAGAAGTTGGGCAGATGCCTTCAAACTCCATTTTAGTTTTAATAAATTGCAGGTTAAAAAGTTGAAGAAAACTTAAATTATTTTAGTGATGTCTGTTATGTAACTACTCAATAGAGAAGAACCATTTGATGCAATTGAACCACAGGATGAGTAGCCCCAGGGAGCTGCATGTTTTCCCGGCCAAAAAGCTGCTACAGCAGTATAGGATAAGGCTAGCAAGGAAGCGCACGGACTGAGAATAACTGGCAGTGTACCCATAAAAACTGTATACTAATGTTTATTTAAATCAAGTCCCTACGGTGGCACAGATTTCCTGAAGTGTTTCTGTTGAGTCCTTTAAATTTTCACTGCCACACCTGTCTTTCTGCATAATGTTGCATTACTTCCCAGCATTATATTGCTACCAGCCATTAGCATTCATGCCAGTGGTCTCCCCACAATCATAAACACAAGCAGGACTTCCTTTACTCCTGGGAGAACAAGTGGTTTGTTAATTGGGGTTTAGGCAAGCTCTGAACATGAGAGAATATTAAAATACTCTCTAAATGTTATTAGTGTACAAAATTCAGCTGTCCATAGGCCAATTAGTGAAACTATCAAAATAAGTTGACCCATTGCAACCTTCTGCTTCTGTGTCAAACATGAATGAATTAGTATCAAACTGAGACCTCTAGATTTGCTTGTTCAATGTGCTGATTCACCGTGCTACTCCCTTGATAGGATGCTGAATTTACAGAGCATAGGAAATACTGGTCTATGTTTATGCAAGGCTATAAGTGTCACTGTAGCTGCTGGTGATTATTTTCATTCTACAGCTAATGTTAACTGATATCAAGTGCTGTCTCCAAAGTAAAAGTTGAGCACCTTGTAACTATAACAAAGATGAAACAGGTATTTTGTTAGCTTGCAACAACTACAGCTCATAGAGCCTTGGACATGTTGCTGTCAAAACATCCACGAAGCAGAGTTTACACTAGACTTTTATTTTTGCCAGCCGATATAGCCATTAATATTCCAGTATTCGGGCCATCTAGAACAACTACAGGACATCTGTTTTAAATAGCCATATAATAGCCAAAATTTAAAGATCAATAAAACACAAAAAACACAAACGCTGTGACCTAAATACATAACTGTGACAGAAACAGAGAGGGATGATGGAAACAGGACAGTACGTTGTAGAGACTGACTTTCTTGCTCCCAGCCTCGGTGTTACAGTACATGCAGCAAAGTTGGCTGAACTCCTGTTTAAACAGACAATAGCGTCTCTACGTCTCTTTTCATATCTTCCTCTACCATACTGTGTGATCGACTCTTCAGCTGACAGCACTGTCAGCAGCTGGCAGGAGAGAGGCTCTGTGCTGCACTGAAGCCCCGCTGCTTCAAAGAGAGCTGTTCGCTTGTTTATTCAAAGTTTATTCATGTTGAACATGTCGCATGTCCAAATTGCACCAAATCCGACACTACACTTCCTTAGGTCCCCAGAAATACACTCACCAAGTGTGAAGTTAACTGGATGAATGGTTGTCGTGAAAAGTGAAGAAAACACACACCCACACATAGGCTTCAGACAGAGACTACTTGGTGAATCTCTCAATGACAGTGGAGGCAAAAAACTCGTTTGCATGTAAGTTTCCATTTAAGTTGTCTTGGAAACATATAGTTTAGGTCACACAATATTAGGCTATTTAATATGCTGTTAATGAAAATATGTATTTATTTCTTTATTTTTTCCTCTGTGGCGGTTGATACTCTCATCTGGCAGAGAACTACACATAACACCGGCCAAAGGCCTGCATAAGCCGGCAAATGTAAACCCTGCATGGAAGGTGAATCTGAATGTCTACAAGGTTAATATGGAGCCTTTTTGATCCCTTGCTGCAAAAGGGTCATCACCCCCCTTGCTTAATTGCCCTCCCATTATCCTCATCTTGTCTGAGATTTCCCGATATTTATCAAACATATTTGACATTATCCTCAGCAGTCTTCTTTGTGAGCACTTGTAAGATGGAAATTGCGTAAGGGAATGTGAGATGTCCTTTACACTGCTGGGAGTTTGTCTTGTTTGCGCACTCACTATAGAAGACTGCCAGTGAAGGTATCAAGTGTATTTGATAACAATCAGGGTGTCCCAGAAGAGGCCGGGAGCATGACAAGGCAAAGTCTTGTCTTGTAATTGTTGCTAAAGGTATGTGTTAAAAAAATATCCAGGTGATTTATCAGTTTATTTCCACCTTTAGATTTCAGTGTACAAAACTATATCATAAGCTTTTTAACATAGCTCTTGTTGTGACTTTTCGCATGAAAAAGGCATTTCCTTGGCTATAACGTATATTTGAAAATTATATACACAATAATGGTGGAAAGCTGATGCTTTCAGTAAATCCCTTCTACAAAGGTTATGCATTAGAAATTTCTAAAATGTTTTTGACAGCTGATATTGGTGACCAGGAATCGTTTTAGATGAATTGTTGAACTGGTGATTTGTCCTTTTTTGATACAGAGTGTTTAGGTATGTGGACTTTACTGTTGATGGATGATGGTTAAAGCTGACAGAATTGATTTATAAAGTACTTTATGAGAAATTATAGGTTGCGTTTGTCTGACAGTATCTTTTGTCGTGGCTCTGAAAGGACGTGCCTTAAACTGCACTGTGCCAATCGACTGGGTCTACTCAAGGGCCCGTTTAAAGGTTACAGTTGATTATATCACATTCTGCTCCTTCGCAAATCAATACTTACATTGTTGAAGTACACTGCCTCCTTTATGTCTTTTGTTGGGGTCAGTCTTTCACTGTAACAAGGCCTGTGTCTGTGTGTGTGAGTGTGTGTGTGATTTGTTACTGCTTGTATCTTTTTGTGTAAAGTTTCTGTAGATGTGAGAAAATACATCTGATAACAACATAGTAAGCTGTGAGACTTGTGGTAATGAGATGTCATCATCTTGGCTTGGGCAGGCCTTTGGCACTGTTTTTTTCCTAAATCAAAGACCACTAATGTGTGTAGTTAACGTACACTGACATATCATCTTATTAAAGCATAGTTTTCCTAACCTCATCCCATTGAATATTAAAAATTAGGCCACCCATCACCACATTTTGAAAAGATGGCCCAGTTTGCCTGTTCTCAAGATTCCAAGGCCACATGTGTTTTCATTTAAATCGTGCTGTAATAACTGGTGCTGTAGGGGCTTCTGAAACCGAGTTTTAAGAATTCGAAATCAGAACCTTGTGTTTTATGGCAGGCTTTATTTATCTAGACTGATTTGAGACTATTTTTACAGTGGCCCTAAGACAAATTGTATCTCTTTTCTTTTGTGTCACAGTGTGGCATCTGTATGTCTTCCATCTCCGTCTTTGAGGAACCTGTTAACATGTCCTGCGGCCACGAGTTCTGCAGAGGATGCTGGGAAGGGTAAGTCATATTTTTTCTGGCCTACGGATCAGATCAGTGTACCTAATTCCTTACTCTGATCTTCACCATTTTTCTGTACATACTTAATTTCTGTCTGCAATGTAAGGTACCGGTATGTTTCCTCAGGTTTCTAAATCTAAAGATCCAGGAGGGTGAAGCCCACAACATCTTCTGCCCAGCCTTTGATTGCTACCAGCTAGTGCCTGTGGAAGTCATTGAGAGTGTGGTGTCGAGAGAGATGGACAAGCGCTACCTCCAGTTTGACATCAAGGTACTGAGATGAAAAGAAAAAGAGAGATGTGCACTTAACAGATTTATGTGAACTGTGAGCCTCCCAACATAATATTGAGATAATACTGCCACCTTCAGAGATGCACACATGGCTCCTGCAATTTAATTCCCCTTTAGAGTAAAGACTTAACTGAATATAGACACTATTTGGCTGACATGGAAGGACACAAAGAGGGCAAACATTGATGAGAATAGAGAGATATTCTTGGACTTGAAGGCTAAACTGTATAGTTTAGTTGAACTGAATAAATCAAAAAAGTGGTTTTTACTTGGAAACAGATTATTTTTTTCCTACTTCATCAGCGTCATTCATGTCTTTTTAGATTTCAAAGTCACTTGCAAGTGCACTTTTGCAACCTTTAAAATGTAAATTTGCAGCAAGCAGAAAAGGATTGTTTCACTGATCTCGTCTGGTTAAAACTTTCAAATATTGTGGTAGAAATAAGTGAAAGAGTTACCCTAACTAAAAAATAACCCTAACCCTGTTGAATTGCAGATGGATTTTAATCTTCTCTGTTTCTTTTGTTGACAGGCATTTGTAGAGAACAATCCTGCAATCCGCTGGTGTCCTGAGGCAGGGTGTGAAAGAGCAGTGAGACTAAACACCCAGGGCCCTGGGACCTCCTCCTCAGACCCATTTAGCTTTCCCCTCCTTCGTGCTCCTGCTGTGGATTGTGGTAAAGGCCACCTGTTCTGCTGGTCAGTAATGAGTACCACACCATATACATGAAAATGTAAACATTTCTGTAATTATGTGTATAGTGTATTGTATAGTTTACATTTTGACTTAAGCAAATAATGTGTTTTGATTAGTCTGATTAGAAGCCCAGACATGAGATTTATATTATACTTATTAAATGTGGGGTCAGTCTTTCTGGAGAAAGATAGTTGATTCTTGAGCCTCATTCACAAATGACAAACTGAGAGCATGAATGTTCTGTTGTGTTGTGTGTCTTGCTCCGAGCCACTTCGTTTGTTTTCCATTTACCATATACCAAACGACCAGGGAATTGTACTCTGCACAGCGGCTGTGGCTCAGAGGTAGAGCGGGTCGTCCGCTAATCGGAAGGTTGGACGTTCGATCACCGGCTCCTCTCGCTGCGTGTCAAAGTGTCCTTGAGCAGGACACTGAACTCTAAATTGCTCCCGATGCTGTGCATCGGTGTATGAGTGTGTATGAATGATTAGTTTCTGTTCTGTTGAGCAGTTGACACCTTGCATGGCAGCCACTGCCATCAAGTGTATGAATGTGTGTGAATGGAGTGAGTTTGGCATGTAGTGTACAGCGCGTGGTCGAAAGACTAGAAAGGCGCTATATAAGTACAGTCCATTTATCATTTACTCAATTAACTGTCTTTCTTTAGAATGACTGAAACCTGCCTTTAAGTGTATTTTCCAAAATGTTGAACTATTCCTTTAACTTGGAGTAAATATACACATATTTTGTTAAATTGCTTAACCATTTTGTCATCATAGAATATTTGTGCAGATGGGTGCACAAAACAAATTCTGTCCGAAATGTGGAAAATACAAATGTGTGTGAAACTTTTTTTTTTAATACTGTATATGCCCATATCCACATGACGAACTGTGCCCTTGCATTCCAAATGATGTTTGTATGTGTTTGTTTGTTTGCATGGGTATCCATTCATTTTCTTTGTACATGTATTTGTAGCTACTCAAATAGGGAGTAGGGCCCAAATGCTGTGCGCTCTTCCACCTTCAGTCCTATGTATTCATACTCCCAGAGCCCTGAAGAAAGCCCTAGCAGCTCCCCGACTGCCATATCACCATCTCCACCACACCCCAACCTACACTGCATGCCTCACTGCACCTCATCTCGCTATGTGGTTCTTGAAAGTGGCCATTAGGTTGACTTGACAGGTTTACTCAAGAGTTGACATTACATTGGAAGTGAATGCAACACAGGTCCAACTTTTATAGTTCCCTTGACACGAGGAAGGCATATTGGTGAAAGACAGATATGGCCAATTGATTGTGGTTGACAGTTTTGACAGCATCTCTGACAGCACTGTGATTTGTGTGTTCATCATTTGTCCTAATTTTATGTATAGCCCAGGGACAGAATGGGAGCTTAAAATGGTCATTTCAACTGTCTGCGTCACCTTACTCTGTCTGCGTTTATTCCAGGGAATGTCAAGGCGAGGCCCATGAGCCCTGTGACTGTGAGACCTGGAAGTTGTGGCTACAGAAAGTCAATGAGATGAGACCTGAGGAATGTGAGTATTGATATTAATTTATGTATATCTAGTTTTTGGGTGTGTTTCAAACATGAAGTTACAGCTGAATTTAAAAACTGTACAGCATTCTGAATTACACTTGTTTTAACTAGGGCTGAGCAATTTTATCGATCCTGCGATATATATCGATATTTTGTTTCCCAGGAAGTATCGATTTTTCAGCCGCCAAGTATCGGATTTAACTTAATCCATTTCAAATGCCCCGTTGTTCCGCCCTTGGCCACTTCAGCTCGCTGGCTCCCGGTTTTTCCCCCCGGTTCCCACTTTTGCAAGGGAAGAGCGATTTAGGGTTCCAGGCCAAAGCCTCGCCTAGTGTCGCTGTGAGAATTCTAAGGGCAAGGGGTTTAAACCCGTCTAGATTTACTCCCTTTAACACGCCCCCATGGGGACTGATCATTCTTATTTTATAGCTGTTTAATAACTACTTATAGAGGCTAACTGGCGGATTTAATTTTAAGTATTATGTAATAGTGTTGTTCTATGGGACTTGGAATGATTGGCTTTGGAGAAAGCACCTATAGGGTGTGACTATTTGAAATTTAACTTGCGGTAGTACGTGAGGTGGCTAGCGCGCGCGCGCGCGCGCTCGCTCTCTTGTGCATATGTATCATGTGATAAAGACTAGAAAAAAGGGTGTGTCAAAGAAAATGTTTCTGTATTTATGGTTACAGGTCAGTTCTGCATATCTTTTTTTAGGTGGAGGGGGTGGTAGTCGGACTATATCAAACGATGGGTAGCAAGGTGTAAACAATTTATATTCGTGTAGGGGTGATCTAAAGCAGCTTAAACTCTCCGCAATGCCAGCGAGCGCGAGGTCTTTCAGTAGACGAGTGGTCCAAAGGATCCTAGTGTAATGGTCCGAAAGCATTCTCGTGTTATTTGAGAGCTGTGGTGGGTTATTGTTGTCATAAAGCGATGTAGCACACATCCGGTAGGCCTAGTATGATGTAGGAGACCTGCTTCTGCTTTTTAAATGGGTGTTATTGGTATTATGATCAAACTAATTTTTTTCTTTCTGAATCATTTCAGCTGTCAATTATTGGAAGCCGAGAACGGCCATGGATTATTTTTTATATTTTTTTCATGCACTGTGATATTCGTGATAACGACTTATTTATTCGTTATCTCGATATAACAAAGATCATTTTCTCGAGATAACTTATTATTAATAATGTGTTCGTCTTGATTTCAACCTTTTCAAGAGCTGTCACAACGGCTTCCAGTCAAGTAAACAAACAAGGTAAAGTGTAATTTACTGTTAGCTCTACAGCTACAGCCAGTGGCTACGTTTGTGCAGCTCTTGTACCAAAAGTTTTTTATCTCGAGATAACAAGTGTTGTTTTTTCGTTATAACCAAAATTAAAATTATTTCGTTATCCTCGACATAACAAAGGATCGTTATCTTGTGATAAACGAATTAATTATTAATGGTTCGTCTTGACCTTAAACTAATGCGATAATGTCCGTAGCCACTGGCTTGAGGCTGTAGCCCGACCGGTAAGTGACAGAAGGCAGTTCGTGGCAGCGCATTAGTTAGAAAGTAGGACGAACACATTATTAATAATTCGTTATCTTCGAGAAGAACAAACTTTGTTTTCTCGAGATACAAATTATAAGGTCGTTATCACGAGAAAACCAGTGCCATAAAAAAAAAAAATAAAAATCCAGCCGTTCTCGTTT